TTTGATTTAATGAAGTTGTCTGGAATTCACTTTGGAAATGGCATCAATATATGATCCGGAGGCTTTGTGGATTAATCAGTGTGGAGGACTAAAAAACCGAATTAAATACAGTTCCTTCGGGAACAATTTTGCGGAAAAGCAGAGGGATAGAGGGGGAGAGGGAAAATCACAAGCAGATAGGGAGAGAAAGATGAGAAAAGGGGGAGGGAGAGAATAGAAGAGGGAAGAGAAAAGAGGAAAAGATAAGAGATAGAAGGCTAGAGAAAGAGTGAGAGAATATTATAGACTGAGCGAGAGTAAGCAAAATATACACAAGGAGCAAGAGAGACAGAATGAAAAAATAGAAAAAGAGAGACCTCTTACACAAATAATTCCTCGGAGGTTACGCTGCCTGTATATGCAAATGTATTCATTCTCTTTCACGCACTCACACACTAAGAGGACTATTCACATGCACAGTAGCGCAGTCATTAGCAAGAGTATCCTCCACCTCTTTTCGCCTCGGAGCAAACATACTTTTGTTTGCGTGTTTGCGAAATGGCGTGATAGAGAGAGAGAAAGAGAGAGAGAAAGAGAGAGAGAGAGAGAGAGAGAGAAGAGAGAAGAGAAGAGAGAGAGAGAGAGAGAAGAGAGAGAGAGAGAGAGAGAGAGAAGAGAGAGAGAGAGAGAGGGAGAGAGAGAGGAGAAACAAACACACACACACACACACACACAGATTTACAGACAGACTGATACACAGACACACATACGGAAAGAGAGAGATAGAGAACGAGAGAGTATGGAAGATAGAGGAGGAAGAGAGGAAATAATGTGCTTTCAAAAAACTTTCTATGTTGCATTGTTACTGAATTGAATTTCTCTTTCTCTTTTTTTCCGGCCTTTCGATTGCCTACACCTTCGCTATACCTCCTCCCTTCCCCCCTCCCCTCCCCCTCCCCCATTTCATCTCTCTCTCTCTCTCTCTCTCTCTCTCTCTCTCTCTCTCTCTCTCTCTCTCTCTCTCTCTCTCTTCTCTCTCTCTCTCTCTCTCTCTCTCTCTCTCTCTTTCTCACTCTCATCTATCGACCCATGGTTTCTATCCTCGTTTTCACACACACGCGCACGCGAACACACACACGCGCGCGCGACACACACACACACGCGCGCGCGAACACACACACATCACACACACATATACACATATAATAAATATATATATATATATATATATATATATATGTGTGTGTGTGTGTGTGTGTGTGTGTGTGTGTGTGTGTGTGTGTGTGTGTGTGTGTGTGTGTGTGTGTGTGTGTGTGTGTGTGTGTGTGTGTGTGTGTGTGTGTGTGTGTGTGTGTGTGTGTGTGTGTGTGTGTGTGTGTGTGTGTGTGTGTGTGTGTGTGTGTGTGTGTATATATATATATATTATATATATATATATATATATATATTATATATATATATATATACATATATATATCACTTAATCATCTGTATGTAACCCTTATAATTGTACCAGCTGCACCATACTCATATATATTTAATTATCTACTTACTGTATTAATTCTATTATTTCTTCTTACCATCAGCATTCCCTTGCTTTATCTTTAATCACCGACGTAGAGCGGCGGCCTCACAACCGAATCTTTTTCAGGGGAAATGCATTTTAAAACATACCGGACAGAATTTCAATTGAGTTCCTGCCAGGGGAATGTCAAGAGCTGGACGCCGTTTTGAGTAAAGCGTCACCAGACAACTCTTTTGCTCCGAGCTTTAAGCTGTCTTTATTCCTGTCCCTTCGCTCCTGAAACGACAGAATTATTCACGGTTATTTTCGGATGAAGCTTTCTTTTCTTCTTATTGAAATTTAAATAAAAAATAAACTTTATTCCCTTTCTGTGTTACTTAAAAATAAATAATTTCTCTTTTTTGGAATTTTTCCTTTCTTTTTCATTTAATTTTAACCTTATTCATTATTACCTTCTTTCCCTTTAGACCTTTGCCCAAGCAAAAAGCTGTTTTGTTATTCTTCTTTCTTTTTCGGTGATTTAGAATACTATAGTAATTGGATGAAAGTTTTTTTTCCAGTCCTCGGGCTGCGAACTCGAACCCCACTGAGCCAACCAGATTCGATAACAAGCGTAGTTTACACCTACGTTCATGGTAAATTTTTTCAATAAATATTTAATCAAGTTCCACGGATATTTCTGCTGGCGTAGATGAGGCTACTTTTTAAAGAGACGTCAATGCAGTTGTACAAAAGTGACATTTATAAAATGGAAGTTATTCTACGTTGTGGTCGTCCACAATGAAAAGGCGAATGTAAACTGCTTTCTTTACTTGATACAGGTTGGAACTTTTCTTTATTTTCGCCAAAGGACCAAGATTAGCAAACGTTTGTAGACGTCCATATACTTCCAAGTGAAAAGCCGTTGACGTTACTTTCTCACAGCGTTTAAGCCATTCAGAATGTCAGTTGTATAAGACTGTCAAATATGGTGCAGGTGACTGATAGAATGCTATT